CTGGGCTGACGGCAGGGCTCTCGGCACTCCTGTACCGCCAGAACATTGCTCAGGGTTTCCAGGAAGGGCTACGCCAGGCCCTGCTCGCCTATGGAGAGGACGAGGGGATGGCGAATGCCCTGGACGCTTTGCAGCATGCCTTGTCCTGCTGCGGTGTGGAAAGCTACCGTGACTGGCTCACCTCACCCTGGGGGCTGGAGCAAAATGGCTCCGTGCCCCTCAGCTGCTGCCGGATCCGCCGGGGTTGCCAGCGCAGCCCACCCAACGCACGCAGGCTGCACCGCGATGGGTGCTTCAGCAAGGTGTCGGTCTTCGTCAGCAGCAACATGTTTTATGTTGCCACAGCTGCCCTGGGGTTGGCACTGCTGCAGCTCATCGGCATTGTGCTGGCCTGCCTGATGGCTGTCCGCATCCCTGCCCAGCTGCTGGTCATTGCCACCCCTCGCTGACATCTCCCTGGTCCAGCCCCTTATCCCCTCCAGCTCCTGTCTTTCCCCCAGATCTGGGTGCACTCCATTGGGAAAATCGTCCCTTCATCCTCCCCACTTCCACCTGAGCTTCCTCCTGCAGACTCCATTCCCCCTCTGGAGCCTGGGAAGGTGCCTCCTGGCCTGGCCATGCCCGCTGCAGGGCAGCAGGTGCCCACTGTCCCCCCAGAGCCTCTGGACTCCTCCCATAGATAGTGGTGGCAGCACAGACAGACATCAATGTCTGGGGCTGTGAGGACAGCTGGGTCAAGGCTGACTGGTTTTCTGGCTGATGTAAACATCCCCAGGCACTGAAATGGGGGCCAGGAAAGAGGAGGGGGTCTGGGAGAGCAAGAGAGGTGTCTCTCAGCATTATACCGGGTGAGTGTTCTAAGATTGGGAAGTTATGTTACTGGAAAACTGCTGGAGTGCACAAGGAGCCATGCCAGCAGCTGCCATCGGGGTCTGCTTGAGGGACTGCCCAGCAGCGTGCACCTCACCGCTGCAGATTTCCTACCTTCACTGTGTGCAGATTCAAGCTGTCTGGCTGCCACGGGTGCTTTTCCCGCTGTGGTGTTTCCGATGCTGATCTCCATCTCAAGGTGGAGCTGCAGCTCCAAGTGCTACTCCTTCCTTCAGGATGTGCCTGTCCTGGTAGCCACTGCTTCACTGGTTATGTCCTTGTGGGGCTGAGAAGACCTTAAACTTGGGTCCCTGTCACATGAGAGGATGGCAAAAGCTGCAGGATGGGACCTGACTAGGAGTGGCAAGAGGAGGGAAGGGCACATTGCCCTTCAGAAGTTTCTTTTCGACTTTTGCTGTTAACTTCAGGGTGAGTGGAACAGACTCTCTGTTTTATAGAAGGGTTTCTAAAAACCAGCCCTCAGACTCTTTGACATTTTCCCTTTTTCAAAGGATCTGTCTCTGAAGTATGCTCCTACCTGTGTTTTTGAAGCCAGTTCTATACAACCTGGGAGTAAATGAAGGACCTCAAGAGTTGCTGTGTAGCCCTGGGTGTGTGCAGGACAGACAGCAGTGTAAATCTACAGGATTTTGTTTTTCCCAACAGTTCTGCGTTTGCATATTGAGCTTTAGGAAAAGCAAACCCTGCACTCTAGAGGGTCCTGAATTTTCCAAGCTTCACTTTTTCCCACTTCCTTAAAACCTGTGAACTGGACTATTAAACGTTTCTCTGTCTCACAGCACAGACTTGCTGAACACCCCCCTTACCCAGCAAACTGGGGAGAGAGGATTTCAGGAAAGAACCAAGAACCACAAAAGAACTCCAGGATGTGGTGTCTTTTAGGAACATGACTAGCAAAGCTGTGGAGAACGGTCAAATGCCAACAAATACGAGCAGGAGAGGAAATCTTGAATGAAGATGACCGATAGCTTCATGGGAGGAGTGGAGTACCCTTGGGGGAAAGAGGATTAGCAGTGAAGCTCTGGTGCCCGGGCAATGAATGCATGGGGTGAGGGCGAGGAAGGCTTGACCATTTTCCTCCTTGCTTGCCTTTTGACTACATTTCTGGCTTTCTCTTTTCCTCCCACCGAAGAACGACTGCGTGGCTGCAAGGACGAGCCAGGCAGAGCCTCCATCCCACCGGAGCAGGAGGCGAGACCCTCTCTTCCCGCTGGCTTTGGGAGATGGAGCTGCCCCTGCCCACTGAGCAGCCATGCCCTCTCACCCTGGTGAGGCAGGCAAAGGGAGAGCAAACCTATCGCTGCCTCTCCACGGGGAAAACCAGATCAAATGCAGAGCTAACTCTCCTCCCGCTGTTTAAATCTTCACAGTTTCTACACTTAAAAGAACCCTGCCTTGGTATTTCTGTGCTTTCCCTGCTGAATATTTCTGTGCTTTCCCTTCTGAACATAAGCTTCTAGGATTTTGTTTGACAGTGCTGCTGGGGGTGAAACCAGGGCAAAATGTGTATTCACTTGGAAAGATTCTGATTTCAGTTATCTTTACTGCTTTATACCACTTAAAATACCTGGAAATGCTACCACTTCCTTGTCTTTTGTGATAGTGAAGCCTCCCCCCCCCCTTTTTTTTTCCTCCTCTCCCATCAGTCTTCTTTTCTGGGAGAGGGATTGCTCAATTCTATGGTGAATTTGTTCCACCTTCAGGACTGTAAGTATTTCTGACCTGGGGATAGTGCTGCAATTTGGCATGCTAATAACAGCCCCTGACTTGTGGGACTGCCCTCATAAAGGTGCAGCGGTCCTGCAGACTTGTCAGACTCAGGCTTGTCCAGGAAACATAAAGGGAATCCCCCCAACTTATATTAACAATTGCACAAGCTTGATGGTAGTTGAGAATGTAAGAAAAAACCAAACCAAACCAATGTAAATAGGTGTTTCCATGCAGAAGTGATGTTTTACTCTCCACATATGCAAAATAGTCTAAAGTTTAAATGAAGTTTGAGCTGAGGACTGCTGAATCCAGAACGGTATTTACAAGGACCAGGCAGGAGTATCCAGCACTCATTGGAGTCCAGGCACACAAACTGATTTTACTAAATTTATAAAAATTATATTTGCTCACAGAAATAATTCCCTCAGGGTCAGTTCTCTCAACCGAAGCTCACAAGATCAAAAGCAGAGAAAGAGTAACTGAGTTTTCCTTTTTGGAGAGGGATTCTAGTCCGCATGGATGGATCTTAGGATTCTGCGTTCAGAGTTATGTTGTGCTGGGGTGTTAGCTGTGGCTCTGTCTTCACTGCCCCTCTGCTCAGGTGTTAGGTGGCTATGTAACTACGATGACCACATTCCAGGTGAAGAGTGCAATGTAAACAGGCTTCTCAGTCATTTGACTATTCATCTGCATAGATGAACTTTGAAAATGTGTCTGGAACCAGTCTTTATAGAGAAAACAATGTTTCATTTTTTTAGCACTGATGTTTATTGTTTTATGTAATATAATTTTTTTATTTTTGTTTGTAAATGTCCCTGTATTAACACCACTTTTTTTGGAGTTATGCACTGGTGGAACTCCTGTTATTTTCTGGAAATCAATGTCATGCCCTATGGTTTTAACAATGGGCAAAAAGTATAGTTTGTATGGGAAATGGTACATCAAAAATAAAGTTTAGCAAGTCCTACAAGCAAAACAGTTTTGAATCCAATTCAATATTTGTATTTCTGTATGTTTCTGTATGATTCAACTAAGTGCACGATAAATGTGAAACGAAGTATACAATGAAATGTAAAGACAGAAGCGTATTGTGTTTTTTTTATTCAGAAGATCCATTAAAGAAGCAATAAAACAGGCATTGTGGAGAATGTGGGAAAGGGACATGGAATTGCACTGGGTTTGTCACAACGGTCGTCTTTATCTGAATCAATAAGCTCTGAAAATTTACAGGAATATGGCATTGCTCTTTTTTTTTTTTTTTTTCCCTCCACTGGTTACTAAAATTATTTCTGATCCTGACCCTGATTACGTTGTATGACACACAGCAGTTAGTCAGAATGAAGGACGCTGTTAAAACACATTGAACCAAAACCCTTGTGTAGATACTCACTTCAATCAGTTTTGTTGTGGTTTTAAGTTGCTAGGAATGTCAAAATACAAATGAGATAACCAAGTTTTAAGCATACCAGTCCATGTTTGTGTGGTGGCCAGGCCTGAATCTCAGGACATCAACTTAATGTAATGAATAATTCAAAATGTAAACCATCACTCTGCACTCCTGGCCTATACTCACTGAAATAGGATAAACCTTGGCAATGACACGTAAATGTTAAGTATACTTATATCACTGAAGATTTCATGGACTTGCTGTGAGTTTTAGTCGAATGTTTACTGCTACTTCCTAGAATAATAAACAGCAACATTAACTTTTGTAGATGTATAGAAAAAATGTCATTCTTCTCTAATTCTCAGACTAGCAGATTCCCAGTAGCTGTTTCAGTGGTCTTGAATTCTTTGTGCTCAGTGACCAAATTTTAATTTACTTTTAAAAATTATCTAGATTCAATGTTGGTTTTGCTCTGGATGGTCGGAATGGCTGTAACTGGAAAATGTTACACGGGACAGCACCATCTACCCTTTGCTGGAATACGTTTTTTTTTTTCTGTCATCCTCTTCAGCATAAAGTCACTCATCAAAATGGTATGCTTTAATAAATGCTGATCCCATCTTTTACAAAAAGCTAATCTCAATTTTAACATCACTGGTTAATTAATCAATTAAAAACCCTACCAAATTAAGTATAGGAGCAAGCTGTGTTGCAGTTGGAGAAACAATAGCTCTGTTGTTTGGACAAACTGAGATTTAGGATTAACACGGTGGTAAGATTAGAGCCTTGTTATGAAACAAGGACTATTTTATAACATTGATCTAGAATACCAAGAATATGACCCTTTCAAACTTCAAAAGTGTTTTGATATTTTGTCCAACATCAATTATTCACTGGACTTGTGTGTAGCTGAACGTGACATTAGAGATAACCAGAACTAAAAATGACCTTTAGAATGGATTGTGAATTTTTAGAGAGGAGATGGCTTTTCTGGGGTCAGAAAACAGTAAGTAAGCAGTAAGACTGGGTAAATCAGAGAAGAAAAAAGATTTCTTTTGTCAAAAAGTAATTTTCATCTTTATTTATTTATTTATCTTCTTATAACATTATCTTCTTTCTTCTGGAGAAAATACAATCACTTGTTACCTCTGTGACTTCCATTCATAGCAGCTGATGTTGTATAAAGCCCATGACAAGAACAGTACTCATCCTTCTGTTTCCACAGATAAATTATAGTAAAGGTGCCCTTTTTCATAGGTCCGCCAACCTATGGGAGATTTTGGTAAATCAGGTAGCATGGGAAGACAGCTGGAAATTCAGTGTTTCCCCAATCAAATATTTTGGTTTCCAATAAAAAAGGCACATCCATGGAAAATTTGGGTGGTCAAGTTAAGAAGCCTAACCACAGTCTTGTTCTGAAGCACCACAAAATATTGGTCAGAAATTTAAAAGTCACACAAC